AGTAGAAGGAAAAATCACTGATCAATAAGTTCTTCATATAGACAATTAATAAAAACTAAGTTTGAGGCATATTTTCAAACTCAACCCTGTTGATTTTTGTCTGGTCTCTGACTCAGACCTGTAGTCCATTTGGGAGCGGAGGAAGGTGCAGCCTAACCTTGCCTACCCCATTTCCTGCCTTCAACACAAGCTCTAATTGGAAATTTGGGTGGCCTTGTTTATTTACATGGCTGAAATGCAGCGAGGTTGTATTTATGTTTTCGTGGCGCTTTCTCAGCAGTGCAGCATTACAAAGCCTTCCCCTGAGATCCCTGTGGGAGACGGAGACGAGATTGGAGTTGAATACTAGAACACGAAAGTTGGTGAAGGTATAAAAAAATAATTAAAGTGGTTATGTTTTCTTTACCATCAACCAGATTTTCAATAATGTTGTATAAAAATGTCATGTCTTTAGCACTTAGTATTTCAGTGTATTTATAAATAAAAAACAATAGACTTAACTTACTAAATTTCTATCACAAGTTTTATCTTCTCGAGAAAACCTCATCAGATTTGCTGTAATCAAAAATAAAAAGATCTACAAAGTTCTGTGTTTCTACTCACAAAAAATCAGAAATCATAGGATCAGTTGTGCAAAACCTGCTCATTGGCAGAAATCATATGCAGCTTGAAACTAAAAGTCTCTCTGGTCACAAATGTCTAACGCAAATGTGGACAAACGTTCGTCTGCATGTTTAAGCAGGTCAGCTGAGCAGCAGAAGGAACAGCTTCCTCATGAAACTACGGCTGGACCCGACTTTGATAAGTAAACACTGGAGTGCGCACACGCACACACACACACACACACACACACACACACACACACACACACACACACACACACACACACACACACACACACACACGGTTCTACCATTCTCCTCCCAACCATCAGCTGGAGACCACACACAGAGTCTGAGAACAGCTCAATCTCACGCAGTCAGGCCTATGATCTCTCCCTCTGACCACTTCAGTTTCTGTCAGTGCTGAATTGGTACAGTATCTCTCATCAAACAAAACATCTCTGTTTTGAAAATTTTAAGTGAAGCATATACTTTTTACTTTACTTGCAGGATTTTCCAAATCACAATTCAGTTTTGCCAATTGATCAAATCCAGAATGTTTGACTTTGTCTTGCCGATCACCTTCGTGGAGATCACAGCCCAGCCCATACCATCTGCAGCTATTATGGTTCATCATTTTACTTTCTCCATCTCCACATACAGTAGACAACTATGACACAACACTCCCTGCTGGCCACATACCTCATTGCACCTTTATCCTCTGATTTGGGTCTCATTTCTTTGTCTTTGATCACTGTAGAAATCTAGATCACGCTAAAAATGTAGAATTTGCATCAGTTTTATTGTGAAATTCTTCATGGATCTCTCAAACCAAACACACAGTATCACCCTTGTGTCTTTGCCAGCTTATATTGTTCTACTTATCTGCTTTAATCCGTTTACAGTAACGGATCATGTGTTGGTCCAAAGCATTGTTGTCTAAAGACATGGGCATACACAAGGATATCTGAAACAATTCAAACTGATTATCTGTGCTTATGAAAAAAAGTTTAAAAGCAATTCTCCTGATTCCTGTAGGTCATTTCCAGAGACAAATTCCAATGTAATAACAAGCAGTAACAATTTAATTGTTGCCATAAAACATAAACTGGGAAATTATTGAGTAAACGATGAGCCTGCAGGTCAGTTTTATCGAAAGTCTTGTACTCTGCCCTGAATATTCTATGATAATAAATCTTTATTTGTAATGTAACAAACCTTGTGCTGAAATTCCTCTTTAGCTTGTGTTCTTCTACATAAATTGAAATATGCTTTTTGAAAACTGAATCATCATTTTAGTGAATAAGTCTTTATAATCAGACAGCACTGTAAATGCTTTTGGATTCTCATAAAAAAATAACCAACCAAAAAATCTAATCAACCCTTTTTTTGTTTGGATTTTTAAACACTTTTTAATTTCAAGTAAAAATTTAAATCACACGGGTCACTAAGACAACTCCTTAAAGACGTTTTATTATACAGCAGCAAGCCCCTGGAACTAAAATGTCTAAATTAAATGAGGATTAGTCTTAACTTTCAACATCTCGGTAAAATTATGACAGAAGTCATCTATTCAGATACTTTAGGTCTTTTGGCACCGTACAGTTGCTCTACTGTAAATAATATGGGTGGCATTCTGAAGATCTTTAAATTTGATAAAACACTTTAGTGCTGTTGTAAAGGAAGATGTTTCCAGCTTGAAGCTATTAAGTTGAAGCCCTATCACACCATCAAATTCCATGAAATAGTTCTCCACACTTTTATTGTCTCACAACCACACTACAAAGTTCTAGACTGGTCATTCTGCAGCAAACACAACCTGCTGAACCTGGTGAATGCAGCTGCTCATCAACAAGCATCCAAAATGTATAACTCTCTGAATTATAATACATACATACATACATACATACATACATACATACATACATACATACATATATATATATATATATATATATATATATATATATATATATATATATATATATATACTGTCATTTGGCTAAATCATAAAGCACTTGAGTTAAAATTTGTTTTAAAATAAGCTACATAAGCATTATTCACTGTTGGATTCAGAATCAGCATCAAGACTGATCACCGGGAGTCTTACCACACCATAAATAGACACTAATTAATCGGGAACAGCAATTATGATGAGATTTTGATGTTCAATATACATTTAAAAAGTTCCTTTTTCATCACCTAAGTAGGGAAATGTTTTCTATTTTCTTTAACTGTTGTGTTTTATATTTGAGAGTTGTAACGACTGCAGAGACCAGCAGATGTCAGCAAAGTATTGTGTAGTTTTAAAGAAGAATGCATGTCAAACAAAAACAAACAGGTTCCTTTTTTTAAATCGTAAGTTCACTTTTGTAGTTTTGGAGTAAAGATGTATTGTTTTATTTGATTGAACACAGCTTTAAAGATAATGACAGTGAGTCACTGCTCTTTTAGAACAAGTCTAAATTCAAATTATGAGCAACCAGGTTAGTTATATAATAAATTAAACAATTAGCCATTAAAGTGACAATGTGTTTTTTTTTACCTTTAATCTCTGGTAAAATCCATAGAAATGTCGAAAATGAAAAAAATGTGTTGAAAAACAATTGGGACTGAAGTTCATGGGGCGCAGGTTATGCGTTCTGCTCCACAGATAACATTTACCGTAATATTTTTTTTATTTTTATTAGTGACAGTCAGATTGTAAATCTATCCTGAAATGTAAACTGCCTCTAGTGCCAGGAAACTACACACTGCCACTTTAAACCACCAGGACCTGTTGTACCTTTAGAGCACACCAACAACAACGGGACTGTTAGATAATGATTTTAATTACAGAACGCTGACCTGTGTCCCATTCACATGGCCTACAGCTTTAAAAACACCATTAGGATGATCTGCCAATCTGTTCAAACATTGTTGGGATTGTTTGTCCGCTTGACTCCACAGATGCCAAATTATTCGCAAACACTCGATAAGTATAGTATGTAGTTAGTATGAAACCTGTTACATTGCAGGAGTGCCCTGTACAATGATTGGAAGGAGCCTAGAACAAGGGTATTGGAGTTACTTTTGAATGCACTTGTGGTGGTTTCAGTGGTCCGGGCATGGTTCTCCAACATCTCGTATTTCTGCTTTCTGCCACGAGGATTCACCAAGGATACCCACAGATCCAGAACTTCCATTACATTGAAGCAGATTAATTACAGCAACAAAAAAACTGCACCAGGTATCAATACCACCATCAAAAACCTAAAACAGAGGCTACAATTCACACAGGCTTTCCAAAACTGGGAAAAGTTTCCTGGTCCGATGAGTCTCAATCCTTTAATTTAGGAATTGAAAAACATCATTTGATAATCTTTTCATTAAAAAATTTTCAGACATATAAGAGCATCACCAGACTAAGGCTTTCATCTCCAGAGCTTAAAGTGAAGCAAGCAGATAATGTCATGTTAGAAATGGAAAATCTAAAGCCCAACTACAAATGATGTGGCTTCCTGATGGGGGAGGAAATACCATGATAAATGTGTGTAAATGTTATGTTTTCTTTTTTCATCTCTTTCAAGACTCACTTTCTTGCTCTTTAATGTAAAATCCAAAATGGAGCAAACACCTTATGAAGGTCTTTTGTACGTTCTTGCTGTGTTCGTCTTTGAATTCCATTTTTGGTTCTTTTTTAAACACAGATAAGGTTTTTCTTTACCTTGCTGACGTTTCGTTTGCGGCTGCAAACATCTTCAGAGCTTATAAAGGCATTTTGAAGCTTAGTTTAATATTTCTATTAGGAAAAAAATACATACTATTGTAGAGTTTAAAATGTTTTGTAAGGGTTATTTTTAGGTGATTTCATGCCATTTGCTTTTTACTGTAAAATGTGATGTGAGATAGGTATGTGTCTCTGGATCTGAGTCATTGAGGTTGCAGGTGGAGAAGTCACATGTTTTATCCTGAGTCCATAAATGTCAATTTCTGATAACAGTAATACCAAAAGTGCGCGCGAGCACACACACACACACACGCACACACACACACACACACACACACACACACACACACACACACACACACACACACACACACACACACACACACACACACACACACACACACAACTGAAGTCCTGATCATAAATCTTGGAACTAAGAGTGAACTGACATTTCATTTTGTTTTTCCTCTGTGGTCCAAAGTTTCGATCCCTACATTTACTTCCCTCACACGTAAACCACATAACTTTCACAAACTCTCAGAAAAATCACTGTCTGGGAGGATTTTTTTTCTGTTTTTTTTTTTTTTTTATGAACAGAAAGTCATTTTTCCCCATAAATCTAGTCAGCAAGTGGCCCCAGTTTTCTGATGCACTCTGGTCAAAACTTAAAACTTGCACTCCAAGATGAGCTGTGTGTGTGTGTGTGTGTGTGTGTGTGTGTGTGTGTGTGTGTGTGTGTGTGTGTGTGTGTGTGTGTGTGTGTGTGTGTGTACCTCTGACTAGTTTTTGCAGGGCATTACATAGAATATAAGCCTCAACAAGAACAGCTGCATGCATGGAGACTCCTTTTAGTGTAAATCTGCACACTGACCATAGTTTTTCTTCCCACTTGTGAGGCCACTAGTTTCAGGTGAAGAGGAACAGGTATCAATTCCCTGTAAGTTACAGGATGAGTGTAGATTTCCAGTTAACGTGCCTCTTGGCTAGCGTTAGAACCACAGATTACCCCTCAGATAACAAATTGTCAAACTGTTTGTGAGCAAAGAAATATTTAGCAGCACCATGATCACGTGTTTCAAACAAATTGAGCTTCTGAATTAGAGTGTCTTTTATGAATATTTATTACAAGACTTGAAGGAGAACTATATAATATTTCACATAAAAGAGTGACAGAATTGTGATGAGTTTGTAGAAAACTACAATGTGTGTTTTGCATGTCAAGTATTGTAGATTATAAAGTATGTGAACCATAGAATGAGCTGTTTCAAAATGGAAAATTGCTGATGGTCCAAGGTCCCACTTAACTCTGTGCAAGTGTTACGCTTTAATTCTGGTGTCTGCAAATAAAAAAAGCATTCATTCATGCAGGTTTTTCTCATTGTAATATCAGCGTTTGTCTCAGGGGCCATTCTTCCTGTGCACCTGTTTTAGTACTTCCTGTCTGTGTGCCCTTCGCTCCCCTCATCTCCCCTGACCTCAAACCGCATCCTTCACTCTGTCACAATAATATTTGCAGAAGAAAAACTAAACAAAACAAAAAAACATCTTACTCCACAGCCACAGAAACAAAAACTACAATGCATACCTGTAGGTGTGCCTGAGAACCTGACAGGGTCTTCCCCATTTCTACCCCTCTGTGCAGCAATTTACAAACCTGAAGTTACAAGGCATTGTGGAAGGTCACAACTTGGAAGTCACAGTCATAATCTTCTGCTTGTGTTTGCTTTTACTCCTGAATATGCTGTAGAGGTTTCTGAGAAGCATAGTCCATTGGTGGAGGGGTGTTTTGCTCCTGGACATGATCATAAGGCCGCAGGTAGTGACCAGTGTTCTGTTGGTAATAGTACACCAGCTTCTTAGCAAACACAGGCTCCACCTGAAACGAGAGTTGGAATTTATGCAATATGCACACTAAATTTAATGAGTTGATGCGTTGATGCATTTTTATTATATGTCTCCATAGTCATAAAAATATGGGAAATTTAATATTTAATAATGTAGATTACAGTAATTGTGGGCTGCACAGTGGTGCAGTGGCCAGTGCTGTTGCTTAGCAGCAAGAAGGCCCTGGGTTCAGATCTTGACCTGGGTCCTTTCTGCATGGAGTTTGCATGTATGAGCCCCCCCTCCACCCCAGCCCAAAGACACGACTGTCAGGTTGATTGGTCTCTCTATATTGTCCTTAGGTGTGTGTGCATGCATGGTTGTTTGTCGTGTGCAGCTGTGTTGCCCTGCAAAGGACTGGTGTTACAACCCCAACCAGGTCTAGGAAACCCTGGGAGGCTTAACACAAAAAGGTGGATTAAACAGACCAAGACCCAAACCAATCACCCTTAATCAAACGTTTGTTATTAACAAACGGTGTCCCAGTGGGAGAGGAAACTAAAACAACCACCTGTAAGGAAATAAATCAAACTAATATGACTGCTAAGTTTCCTACTACCTGTCCCTAAACAAAACACCTTGCCTTATGGGAGGAAATCTCAGGATCTTACAAAATAAGAGCTGGACCGAGCACCAAAAGAAAGCGCCCCACCTGACTCCACTCACTAAAGAGAACTGGTGGGGGAGCTTTACAAAACAGCTCTGTAAATATATCCAGCCAACTCAAGTCACCACTGGTGCCTACATTAAGCTAAAGTCCTTCTCTCTCTCTGCTTCCAGTATGTCTGCTCCCTTCTCCTCCTGAATGGGTAGACTTTATGCTGCAGCTGGGTGATTGCAGATGATTTGCAGCAGAGATCTGAGGGAAGAGAGCTCATCCTGATGGTGCTGGCTGGAGGGAAAAGCCAGAGATCATAACAGCTGGCAACCTGTCCAGGGTGTACCCTGCCTGTTTGCCCAGAGACTGCTGGAGATAGGCACCAGCCCCCTAAATGCAACACTGCATGGGCAAGCTGGCACAGATGATGGATGGATGGATTCATTGTTTGGCTCATTTCAGCTTTAGAAGAAGTTAAGAAATAAAGTTTTGTTCCTAAATATTTTAAATGGTAAATGGTCTGTGTTTACAGTACTGTGCAAACATTTTAGGAAGGTGGGAAAATGCTTTGAACAAAGAATGCTTTCAGAAATATAAAAACAATTGTTTGACTTTATCAATTTAGAAAGGGCAAAGTGAATGACCCCAATCATGCAACCAAAGTCATTAAGAACTATCTTCAGCATAAAGAACAAGAGATGGTCTGGCCCCCACAGAGCCCTGATCTCAATGTCATGGAATGTTTCTGGGATCACATGAAGAGACAGAAGGGTGTGAGGAAGACTACACCCACATAAGCTCTGTGGTTAGTTCTCCAAGATGTTTGGAACAGCCTACCAGCCGATCTCTTTCAACATCTGTAGAAGAACTGGATGGCCTTGCACTAACATACCTGTCTGACACGCTAAAGCCCTATGCACCGACGCACTCGCTGACCCCTTCTTTCCACCGGAGCAGTCAGCGGCACGTTACTGCAGCAGCACGTCTTGCTCGCGTATGCTGCTGCTTGGCCCTTCCCACGAGACGCGAAGCAGCAGGGGAGCAGCTGTCACCGACAGAGCACTAAACACAACAAAAAGCAGGAGAAAACTACAACATGGCTCCAAAAGGTTTGTTTTTTATGTTCTGTCCATTTTATAATCGCCATACGGACCTGAAAAACAAAGGAGACAGCTAGCTAGATGATAACTTCTCACGGGGCCGCACAGTTAGTGACTTTTTTTTTTTAAGTAAAGGAACCGGAAGGCAGTACGTTTCTTTATTCTGAAAATCTCGGGAAGCTTCGCTCCATTTCCGCGTCCGATTTCCTGTCTTTCCTTCCCCAAAAATGTCGAACTTGACCCGTTTCAGAGGCGTAGCGCGTAGGAAATAGAACCGGCGCGTAAAGGCCGCGACATGCTGCTTCACTGTTAAAAATCCAACTTGCAATTTGTTTGGAGGGTTTAAAGTTTTAAGTCAGTTGAATGTTTTAACTTGCAAAATGTTAAGTTAATACAGAAAAGCAAGCACCTAAAAAGTTGACTGAACTTAAAATTCTATTGCAACTGGTTGCTTTACTTTTTTAAGTTGACTGGACTTTTTTTTTCAGTGTTCTGAGACGTGGCCGACTCGCGCTGCTGACGGCTGCTGACGGCTCAGGTGGAAAGAAGGGGTGAAATCACCCGACTGCCTGTTGCTCTGCACCCTTTCAATGATCTATACAGTTAGGAGAGGAGCATGCCTTTGAGCATGCTGTGCCTGTTCTCTGGAATGCCTTGCCACAGTCAACATCCATTGCAGCTTTCAAGTCCTGATTGAATTCATGTTTTTATGACTTGGCTTTTAAGCCATGAATTGGTTCTTGTTAAATAATGTTTTAAGTGTTCTTATTTGTATTTGATTAGGTTTCATTGACTGTACACTAGCCACTTTGGTGGTTTGTTTGTTTTCATCTGTTGCTGCTTTATGCTTTGATGATTGTCTCTCCTTTTCCTGTACTATAGGTAAAGCACTTAAGTGCTTTGGAAATGTGCTTGATAAATGAAGTGGGATGGTAACTGATGCTGTTTTGAAGGCAAAGGGTGCTCACAGCAATTATTGATTTAATTTAGATTTATCTTTAGTTCATTAACTGCTTTTTGTTCCATTCATCCATCCATCCATTTTCATCCGCTTATCCGGAGTCAGGTCGCGGGGGCAGTAGCCTAAGGCGAGAGGCCTAGACTTCCCTCCCCCCAGCAACTTGGGCCAGCTTCTCCAGCGGAATCCCAAGGCGTTCCCTGGCCAGGTGAGAGACCGAGTCCCTCCATCGTGTCCCGGGTCTACCTTTAGGTCTCCTCCCGGTTGGACGTGCCCAGAAAACTTCACCAGGGAGGCGTCCAGGAGGCATCGTGACCAGATGCCTGAGCCACCTCAACTGGCTCCTCTCCATGTGGAGGAGCATCGGGTCTACTCCGAGCCCCTCCCGAATGACCGAGCTTCTCAACCTATCTCTAAGGGAGAGTCCAGCCACTCTTTAGAGAAAACTCATTTTGTTCGCTTGTATCCGCGATCTCGTTCTTTCGGTCACAACCCAAAGCTCGTGATCATAGGTAAGGGTAGGAACGTAGATCGACCGGTAAATCGAGAGCTTCACCTTCTGACTCAGCTCTCTCTTCACCACGACAGACCGGTACAACGCCCGCATCACTGCAGATGCAGCACTAATCCGCCTATCAATCTCACGCTCCAGTTTTCCCTCACTCTTGAACAAGACCCCGAGATACTTAAACTCCTCCACTTGGGGCAGGACCTCATCCCTGACCCAGAGAAGGCATTCTACCCTTTTCCGAATCAAGACCATGGTCTCAGATTTAGAGGAGCTGATTCTCATTCCAGCTGCTTCACACTCGGCTGCGAACCGCTCCAGCGAAAGCTGAAAATCACGTTCTGATGAAGCCGACAGGACCACATCATCTGCAAAAAGCAGAAACCTGATCCTCAGGCCACCAAAACGGATGCCTTCCACACCTTGGCTGCGCCTAAAAATCCTGTCCATAAAGGTTATGAACAGAATTGGTGACAAAGGGCAGCCTTGGTGGAGTCCAACTCTCACTGGGAACGAGCCCGACTTACTGCCGTGCCACTTTTATGCTAAAATATCAAATATGCTCAAGTCATCATCAAGTCAACAGATGCAAGTCGATTCAAGCCAATTCAAGTCGCAAGTCATTGGCGTTCAAGTTCGAGTCAAGTTGTAAGTCTTTATAGGTTTTATCAAGTCAAGTCAGAAGTCATTAAAATAATGACTCAAGTCTGACTCGAGTCCAAGTCATGTGACTCGAGTCCACACCTTTGTTATTTGGTACCTTCTGTATTGTTTGATGGTGTTACATGTGTTACTTTGTAGTGATAATATTATCAGAAGACCGCTTCCACAGTCTCATCACTTCCAGAAGGTGACTGTCCAGCCAACACCAGCTCAGATGAGTAGTTTACATGCAGAGCATGTTGGTTTCAAACTGCATTATCTGGGTACTTCAGCACAATAAGCAACTAGTTTCCCTCCAGTCAGACTAATGCAATTCCATACATTATTAAATGACTTAAATCAGCATGTAAATGCACTGACTGTGACTTAGATCTTTGTGGGCTTCTCTAATCCAAGCGTTTGCTCGTCTATTTTCTGTCAATAATACAGGAAGTAGGGGTAGAAGACTATTTTCACATTCAACCTGCATGTGAAACTCAGAGTTATTGATCATATTTCAAATATATCAAGTAAAAAATTGTTTCTAAGTGAACTTGATATTTTAAATCAGTGCAGTTATCGCAATTCGACTGACTTTGGGTGCAAATACAATACCAGTTGGAAAGAAATACAAAATTATTGACATTGACAATTCTGTGTTAAAATCATTACAATCTGTGATATTTTTCAATTGTTCATCAACTTTCAAACTGTAATATTGGTGAAATATCACAATAACTACTGACTTTTGAATGTGGGCAACAAAATCCCAGTTTGTAGACTTCAACCAGTCTGTTTTGACTCTGCTTAGAAAGAGATGTGGTCTACATTCAAAGTCTTTATACACCCCAAGAAGAAAAAAACACGTTTGGAGGGTACCTGTGCTGTGATCAGCTTACTCTGACGTTGTGGATCAGGATATTCATCTCCAAAACATAAAACCACCTGGTATCGGGGTGAACGACGACCATTATGGGCAAAATCTTGCAGGTCTAAGAGAAGAAGAACCAAAAAGAATAAGAGATACACATTGTATATGTCACTGATATGTGTGTGTGTGTGTGTGTGTGTGCGTGCGTGTGTGCGTGCGTGCGTGTGTGTGTGTGTGTGTGTGTGTGTGTGTGTGTGTGTGTGTGTGTAAACTACATAAATCATTTCACCCTGAACACTTTGAGATAAGTCAACAGCCATCTTTGATGGTGTGACATTTTCCTGAATTATGGTGACTTTTTCTGGAAATTACTGATGAGAATGGTGGAAATTCAGAGTAAAAAAGCACAGAAAATACTATCTTGTCGCACAGTGTGGTGGACCACATGTGGGTGGGGACTCCACACACTTTTGGCCCCCCGCTAAAAAGATGAGTGCCTTCTCTTCTTGTGCTACCTAAATGCTGAGAAAGGGACTTACCCAGCTAATTCACCTGCAGCCCGTGTTTCATCATTATCCTCTTAACCATTGCAGCTCGTATCAGTGACTTCAGTCATTTACATCACGTTGATAGCTTAGGAACATATTGGGGCTATTTGGGTTTTTATTTCAATTAGTCACCATTCAGTTCTAAAATAGTTTTACCTAAAGTATAATTGCAACAACTTAAATATACAAATGACACGAGTTGTTGTTGTTGTTTAAAGGCGTAGTCCTGAAATGTATTGTCAGTAGCTATATTGTAAAAAAGCAGAAGGCAACAAAAAAGAAGACATCTAAAACTAACAGCATGAGTAAATTGTAGTTTAGGATACTGGATTTTTATTCATTGTCTTAGTCTTTCTCAAGTGCTTTTTTCATGTATGTGTATGATGACTATGTTAATTGTGCACATATAAGCACGACTTGATGAAAATCAAAGCGACAACTATGAAATTTCAAATTTAAAAGACATCTTCTGGCAATTAGATCAAAAAGTGTGTGTGTGTGTGTGTGTGTGTGTGTGTGTGTGTGTGCGTGCGTGCGTGCGTGCGTGCGTGCGTGCGTGCGTGCGTGCGTGTGTGTGTGTGTGTGATTCATTTCCATTTCTTTGGCTGAATCTGTGAGAAAAGCCAAACTAGTGACTAGCCATGAACTGGTGTCTGTATATTTTCTGTAGCGTGCTGAAAAAGTTAAAAAAAACTGGATGAGAGGACAACAAAAACAACAGATTAGCAGAATCATTTCTAAACTGGTTGCTTTTGGGAAATAGGAACAGTTAAAGGAAAGACCTAACACAGGAACTGAGAAATCCATCAGCTGATCCATCAGCTGTAGCTTAACCGTATTTTACTTCTTACCAACAAGAAATTGATGGATGTCGAAGAGTTTGCATGCTTGATCCTTCTCCAGCTTGTTGGGTTTATCCATAAATGGAGCCAGAGGTCCTTCCCAGTACACTCGACTCTGGCACAGGCGCTTAGCATACAGGCCATCAGCCGTCATCCAGACGAGCACGCCTTTCTCCAGTATGTTAGGAAGCATGTCAGCACCTTGTCTTTGAGACTCGGGGTAAGGGGATGGAAAAAGGACAACTTCTGCACCACTGTGAATCTTGTCATCTTGACATGGAGAAGAAGAGGATGAGGAGGATGGAGAAGAAGCAGAAGAAGAGGTGATTTGGCAACCTTCTGGGCTGGTGATGGTAACTTCTTTCACCAGAGAGTCTCTGTAGTATAGGGACACATGCAGGCTGAAATCTGCAAAAAGATTCAAAGGAAAATGCATGAAATTAAAATGTAGCGTGACTCAGCTTGGAGGTGTTTGAACCAAAAATGATATGTTAATTTTATTTAGCAGATTATTTTATACAGAGTGACTTACAAATTACCTAGCATGCATGTGTTTTAGCTTGTGGGAGAAAACCCTTGTATGCCTGGTGAAAACATGCAACCTTCAGATAGGCTGCAGCTAGGATTTAAACCCGCAACCTTCTTGCTGCGTAGCAGCAATGCAGCCCCACCCAAAATCACACACATAGCATGCAACTTTCATGTTTTTTATTTTATTTGGTGTTCAATATTTTTGTTTCAAGCATAATCTTTACTCTATTTTATTCTTTCATCATGTGATTGAAACAATAAATAAATAAATAAATAGAAATAAACTACTCAATACCACTAAACTCTGGGTTTCAAAATATGGAAGTAAAAACTGTATGAGGTGTTAGTAGTTTCATATCAATAACTGAATAAAAAAATAAAATTTTGTAAAAATAGACATCAAATCAACCATTATGAATTTATGGGGTGCAGGTTTCAGTTCGTACCTGTTATGGCATTATTGTGATCCACTGCATACGTGGATGGTTGAGAGTCAGAAAGGTAGGTGTGGAATGAGAGCTGGAAGCCTAAATCCAAAAATGAACAGATAAAAGCGTTGTTTTGTTCACTGAATGTGAAATGACAGAAATCTGAGAAACTTGTGCAAAATGTGTGCAGAATTAAGGAAGCTCATAATGCATATGAACAAAATCAAAGATAAAAGTTATGCACATTGCTAAGGAAAGAAAATATTTGCTAAATAAAAGTTGTAAAAGGAAGAAACTGCAAATGAATTTTACATTTAATTTGCACTTTGCATAAAAAATTACTTCTTCAACTTATTTTCTATTCTTGTGTGAAAGGATATTTCCTGATAGACTTAATAAAAGCGCAAGCAGCTGATTGAATCCCAGTGTTATTGCATGCACATTTTGATTATAATTCTTGAGTTTCTTAACAGATCTAATGTCTCCTCTGAGGATAAATGGCTGTGTATTACCGTTTTCTGTGTGAGAGCCGGGCCAAACCCGGCTGATGGACGACTGGTAGTGGCACTGGCCGTACTGCAGGTCGGCAAGCTGGCCATGATAAGCATTAGAAAGAGATTGTTGCTCTGGTGGTGTGTGATAATCCCTCCAGTCCCTCCTCTCCTGAGAGACAACAAAGCCTGGAACCTAAAGCAGCAAAATGAGGACAGTTACTCAAAAAGCACAACTTTAATCACACTTTAAAATGATGACCAGTTGCTTCAAAATCAGTTAACCTGGTTGTGCAGTGATGTGTATGAAGGAATATATCCAAGGCCATGGGGTTGCATCTCATCCATACGACTTATTTTCATTCCTATAAATATTCAGAGGCACACACATCATCCATGAAGTTTCAGCTTTATTTTTGTAAACAACCACAAAGATTTATGGCTTTATTGTATTTAACAGATGAATAGCTTTTCATTTGGTGCAAAAACAAGTAGCGAATTTAAATATTCAAGTTTATTTGAGCAGGCCAAAACTGTTCCTGCTGTTGTTGTTTGATGTTGATTTGCAAAGCAAGTGCAACAGACTTCATTGTGCAGCTGATTTTTGTTTTTGTAAAGCCAAAACTGCTCTTCTGTGACAATAACTGCTGTACGATGGCAGAGACTTAGTTTTGCAAGGCTGAGTTTGTCTTCTGTTGTGTTGTGTGCACCCTGTGCTTAGTAACTGAAGCCCTCTAAAAAAAGCACTACGACCTTTTTGGTTCATGCTTTTGCTTCCTGCTTCCTGCCTTATAAGAATCAGCAGCAGTGGTGCAAATGTGTTTGAAAAAACAAAGATCACCAATAGTCGCAGTAACTTGCTGCATGATATGAAGCTCTGCACGTTTAGGTGAATGGATGCAGCTGCAAGGATTTAGTGTATGCAGTCAAAACCCAGATGTGGTTATTTTGCACCACATGTGGATTTAAATCTTTCCAGCAAAGTACGACGTTAAAAACTCACCTTTTTTGGTTCCCTCTTGGATGATTCTGTAAACTTTGTACGGTTCTGAGATGTCCAGTTGGCTTCGCTCCACTATTTCATCAAAGTCGTTGCTTTTATTGAGAGCACAGCGTAGTCTGGTTTTCCACGTGGGGGGGTCTGGCTTATCGACACCTTCTTTGAATTTTCCCTTAAACATCGCCCATGCCTGAGACAACAGGATCAACCAAATGAGCAAGTGAATAGATTTTTTTCTTTACACTTCCTCTTTGGCCGTGCCAAACCATAAATCAAGTTAATTCATCTTGTAAAATGGAATCTGTTAAACTTTATTAGCTGCTGGGGATTAACTCGTGTGCACCGTTAGTGGTTTTAGGTGTGGTGTGAGACAAGATAGTCTAACCTTGAAGAGAGCAGCATCCTCTTCCCTGTTGTAGTCTTGCTTCCCTGCATGTTTCCACGGAATCCTAAAGATGCTCTTCTCATCGTTTTCCCAAACCAGACCAGGATATCGCCCGCTGTCGATCTGATCAATCAGCCACTGCCTCAGCTTGCCATTGCCACAGCCTACTGACAGACCACCGTCTTCATCCATGCTCACCTCTGCAGAATGAATCAAACCAAGTGCAAAAACTGACTCGGTGGCAGCTTTTAGAATGCTAATTTATTTCATTTTTAACCTGCTAAAGTTGCAATTTTCTAATTTCAAACTGAAACGAAATGCATCTATTTTGATAAAGAACTAGTTAACTATTTGTGTTCCACCTTCCACATAACTTTTGCCAGATTATATATAGTTTTAAATGAAGGAGTGCCTCTGATTCAGGCTGAAAGGAGAAATAGTCACGTTTGGCAGCTTTCTATTCTGTCCGGGGAACTTTGTGACTCATCTGAGATGCATGCATGAATATTAACATAAGCTATAAAAAGTTAAAACACAAAAATTGAGACTTTTGGGAAGATTTAATAAGATTTTAGCCAATGAATGATGTCTAAAAGCAAACTTTTTAATTATAAATCAAATAATTTTAATTTTTACCCCTCAAATTAGATCTTGGCTTTAAGGAAACATTTTTCTGGCTTAAACGACTTGGTGAACTTGATCAAAGTAAATCAGATGACTCAAATGAAGTAACTGAGTCTTCTCTGCTGCTGCTTACCTGTGGAGAAGTTAAGTCCACCACGGAAATCTGTTCGGAAGCTGTCAGGGTCCTATTCTTAAAACTTATCACATCTTGATTTTTTTTAACAGGGAGGAGCCTCTGTGAAGTTCAGGAGATGCATGCCTTCTTTTCTGTAAAAACCGAGTGCCCACGCAGAACTGTGGAGGGGAATCCCTCTGTAGTGACACCCTGCGCGCAGATCAGAATGGAATGGAACAATTACCTGTTAAAAAAGATCCCCAACCTTTTTTTTTCTAAGGGCCTGAAGGTGTAACTAGTTTTCCACTGAAATATTTAGTCTTTGTAGACATCTAGAAAGACTTGATCATAAATAAGGAAAATGTTAAAGAAACATGCACATAATCAGTTTACATAAGATGAACATCTTGTCTTACATTCAATATATTTTAAGGTGATTTTAGTTAGTAATACTGCCCTCAGGTGGCTGCACATCCACACATCCTGCTGTTAAAGCATTGTGCATGATGTCCAATAAGGTATATAGTTGTTATTCGTTATGAAACGGTAACTGAGCTAAAAGGCTGATTCAAGAACATGCTTTTGGTGTTTTTGGTGCCATCATGCATGACCTCCCTTGCACATTAGACAAACAGGAAAAGAACCAGGAAACAGAGCACATAAGTGTCTTATCACATGACAGACCACCAACCAACAACCTCGCAAAGCACTCACGGCTTTCAATTACCAAATTGAAATATAAGAAACAAAAGGGGGGAAAGGTTATAAATTCAAATTCTGCTTTAGCAACACGAGTTAAAAGTGTATTTTACAAAGTTTAATTGTCATCCAGCGTTTATGTCCAGGTGATTGTTTGATGTGTAAGAAACATCCTCAGATCCATTCAGTTCGGACAAACGTCTACATCACATAATCAGTTGTGCTGAACTGCAAAGTTTCTCATCAATAGTTTAAATGTCTTCAGGATGAGAAGATGCAGGACCTTCTACCTCGCCAATGACTGGGCATTCTGGAGAGCAGTTTGCAGAGATCAGCCTCATCATTAAAGGGGTTCTCTTTATATTTATGTTGAAGTCATTCTCTGAGCTATAAGGAAAACAAACTGTTGTTATCAGAGGGCTACTTTGCAGTGGAATGTTTAATTTATACCTCTGCAGCGTGAGTCGTCTCAAACTCCTGGAGCTGGTGCTGGAAGCCCAGGTTGGGTGCAGCACAGAGCCGCACCACCTTCACAGCAGCCAATACATCCTGCCAGCCCAGTCCGGTTAGTCTTGATGTCAGTTACCACCAAGGTGATGCTACGGGACACTCCTGTCAAGCTGAAGGAAAAAAAGAATATTTCATTACATGTATCTATCATCCAAGCTTTTATGTACAGTGTGTTTTCCATCACATTATTAGGATACATGGGTTAAACAGCCACATTGTCAAAATTCCTTGCATATCAAGGTCATCATTGTAGTTGCGATGACATATTTAACAAAAAAGTGGTTCCATATTTTTTGAAAATGAGTCTTCTCACTTTGCATGTTGCTCCACTGCATGCAGAAACATCAAGCTGCAGTAGTTTTTAAATGCAGACAAAACCCATACGTGTTCCTGGGCGTTTCTGCAACAGTGCAAACATTTTTTAAAAGGCAGCACACAGTTTCAGTTTAAATACTATCAAGTTATTTATTCTCAGACTGACCAGGGAGAAGGTAGGATTAGTGACTAATGAGAAAAAAGTGAATAAAAGTATGGTCTGCTAGTTTATTCAATACATTTGCAGTGTTCTCTAGTGTAAATCAATGCCTTATGAGTCATTAAAAAAGCTATGATGCTCATGTTATGAGAAGTTTGCTGGTGCAGGGGTGGGCTGAAAACAGCAGGATTGCTCCTTATTAGTAATGATATGATCACTTCTGATTGGCTGAGAGAACATGTTCAACCATGTGTGCAAAGTCACCATCATCAAAAAACTCATCTTTCTCTCCTTGCTACAAAAAAAAAGAATAATTAAAAATTTAAAATAACTTTCCTGTGGGCAGGCAGGAACCAAAATGGGTGAGGATATGAATGCCAATTCACAGTGTGACATAGATATGTGAGGATTTTCAAATCTTAGTATGTCACCATCTATTTTCCATCAGAAGCTAACACAGGAGATAGGTGTAGAAGACTATTTTCATGTTCAACGTTCAGCCTGCATGAAAAACTCAGAGTGACCCATTATAATAAGAAATAATAAAATGTGATTTTCAGTCAACCACACCACAATCCTTATAAATGCATTAATTCGGTTTCAGCCCAAAGTTTTAATTTTCATATTTAGGTAATTAAATGCAGACGTGTACAAAAATAATATAGTTTACTTTATTTCTGATTTGCATTTTTTAAATAAACTAGAACATTTGTTTAGAATGGGAAAGGGTAGAAATTTCTTCTCCAGGCCAGGGATGAGGTCCTGCCCCAAGTGGAGGAGTTTTAGTATCTCGGGGTCTTGTTCACGAGTGTGGGAAAACTGGAGTGTGACATCGATAGGTGCTGCATCTGCAGTGATGCGGGCGTTGTGCCGGTCTGTCGTGGTGAAGAGAGAGCTGAGTCAGAAGGCGAAGCTCTCGATTTACCGGACGATATACGTTCCTACCCTCACCTATGGTCATGAGCTTTGGGTAGTGACCGAAAGAACAAGATCGCGGATACAAGCGGCCGAAATGAGTTTTCTCCGCAGAGTGACTGGGCTCTCCCTTAGAGATAGGGTGAGAAGCTTGGTCATCTGGGAGGGGCTCGGAGTAGATTCGCTGCTCCTCCACATCGAGAGGAGCCAGTTAAGGTGGCTCGGGCATCTGGTCAGGATGCCTCCTGGACGCCTCCCTGGTGAGGTTTTCCGGACACGTCCAACCGGGAGGAGACCTAAAGGTAGACCCAGGACACGTTGGAGGGACTATGTCTCTCACCTGGCCAAGGAACGCCTTGGGATTCCGCCGGAGGAGCTGGCCCAAGTGGCTGGGGAGAGGGAAGTCTGGGCCTCTCGACTTAGGCTACTGCCCTCGCGACCTGACTCCGGATAAGCGGATGAAAATGGATGGATGGCATATGTTTAGAACATTCAGATTGAAAATGTGTTGTTTCCATGCATTTCAAAACCTGACTGAATAAAAAACATAATAGTACAATTTTAAAACAAATTTTAACGTGATATTTTGCCGGTTTATTTTGGAAAAGAAGCTACAAACAGTAAAAATCGGATTTAAATTAGGATTAAATACAGACATTAGGTATAAAGTTCACGTTTAGAACAATTCCTCAAGAAGAGAAAAGATTTGTCACGGCAGGCTAAAGTTTACCCTATAAAAACTTTCAGCACTATCACACAAACATACTGTGGCAAGACTCATTACCGTACACTGTTTGGGGAAGTTCAAGAATAGGCCTTCCCTTTTCATTTTAATCTCGCCTGTGCAGTCGTTACACAAGGCTTCATTCGGGCACTTTAACATTCTGTGATCTCAGTTTTTCTCTGAATAAAGAGTACATGTGTACATAGAAAATCAGTCCAGTGCAGTCGCTGAAACAACATTTATCATCCTGTGTGAGTGATGCTAGATGTTGGCTTCCAGACAAACACAAAACAGATTTATCGCTCACCAATGAATGATGCAACCTTCTCCCTTAAGGCAGGACTCGTGCACGGACGTTATACTCTGTTTAAAGAATTGAGCCCTATTGAGCAACAGAAACAATAGTTACCAAAGGTCATGAATGCTCAAAAACATCAGGAAAACTTGATTTACCATTGCAAAAGAATAGAATAGACGTTATTGATCACACAGTGTGGCAATTCACTTGTTACAGCAGCACTAACACTTAAGAGAATAATTTGAAGAAAAATAATAAAGGTACATATATACATACATTATATATATATATATATATATATATATATATATATATATATATATATATATATAGGCAATAAGCTTCAATTGTAACCTTTAGCCACTAAAAACCACTAATAAAAATGAAAAACTTGGGTTTCAACACTATGCAGTATACTGTAAGGGAACGCAGACACACTATGTAAACGCGGTATTGTACATTTAACGCATACTGAGTATTGCATTGGTGTTATTGTGTACCAGAATAATGCCGGTACAACTTAAACTGAGGACTCTTACTGCAGAGGGGATGAATGACCTACGGTAGTGTTCAGTTTTACATCTGGGATGTCTGCCTCTGAAGGAGCTGTCCTTGGTCTCCACAGTGGAATGCAATGGGTGGGAGTTTTTTTTTCAAGATGGAGGTCATCTTCCCCAGCATCCTCCTTTCACATGTCTCCTCAACCGAATCCAGTCTAGAACCGAGCTAGCTTGGTAACGCTCCTGATTCTCTCCCAAAGATGACCATTATTCAGTAAGTTCATATAAAATTGTTTTATACAGAAAAGTGGTACAAACAATACAATGCAACTGCCCTGAAGCCACCCCCTCATGGTCATCAGTCAACAAAGGCCCCAATCCTCTCAGACATTAGTTTTTATCTTTAGCTTGGCTCGATATTTTCCTGTATTTTATATAGAGTCTTAAAGATCCGGAACCCCCCAAAGTGCTTTACAACACAATCAGTCATTCACACACTTTCACTCTCTGGTGGTGATGAGCTACAATGTCGCCACTGCTGCCCTGGGGCGCACTGACAGAGGCGAGGCTTCTGAGCATTGGGGCCACCAGTCCCTCCAACCATCATCAGCAGACAATGTGGGTGAAGTGTCTTGCCCAAGGACGCAACAGTAGCACTCTCTGCCTGGAGCCGGGATTGATCCTAAAACCTTGCAAATGCTGGACAACCCACTCTACCTCCGGTTGCCCACAAGGCAGTGACTTGATGCAACCTGCTGGATTTTCTTACACAGGAAACATGGCATAATGAACTGAACTCAGTGCATTGATAAGTAGGTTCAAGTGCCTTGAGAAGACTTGTGTTGAAATTTAGCGCTATATAAATAAACTAAATTGAATTTTACAACCATGTCCTTGCTTGTCTAAATGATTTCAGAAAGCAGCTGACAGCCAACGTTGTCATGGAAACTTTTCTCAAATTGATGAAAATACTTTAGATAATTTAGTATTTTCTA